AAATGGGAAGAAAGTTGAAAAGATAAATAAAATGAGCATTCCTTTAGCTATATTTGGTGGAGTCCTGCAGAGAAAAAAATTCTAGCCAGGCAGCATTGAGACATAGTTTATTAATGCAGTTTCCCCCACAGCAGGACACAGAAAGAGAAATTGGTAAAACAGTCACATTAAAAAATTATGACTCTTACATCTGATCTTTATGAATACACAGACAATAAACGATCCTCTTGAGTCGTCCTTGGGCCTTGTTGAGGCAGAGATACAAAGGATTATTATTTTTTTTTCTGCAAAGCTCTACAATAGCATTATTTGCTCACACATGGTTGGACCAGACTGAAAGTTACCTCTCACTTTTGGGAGATTTTAAAAGTACTTATAAAAAAGACCTTGTGTAAGATTTTGGGCAGTTCTCCCAATTACGTTTTGAGAAAAAGCACTTGCATCTTTTGTTTTTAGAGTACAGAAAATTGAAATCCGTTTGTATTCTCTTTGGGAAAAATTGTAGCTGGTGGTAACTTGTTATAAATGGAATTTCCCTGGGATTTTACAGCTGGAAAGGAGCTTACCAATCATCTGATGCAGTGTTTTTCATACTGCAGGCTGGGACCCATTGATGAGTTATGAAATCTGTTTAGAGAATCACAACTAGCATCAGAATGTAGATGAGAGGAAGAATAGAAACAGAATTGAATAGAACAGGAAAAGGTGTTTTGCACATACTATATTGTGAGACTTTTGTTTCAGTTATATGAATGTATGTGTGCACATGCTGGATCACAATGTAAAGTGTGTTTCTTACTCTGAGTTCTGGTAAAAAATAAAACATGTTGTAAGTTACCAATCTAATAAAATACAATCCTGTTCCAGATAAGATAACTGGAGCCAACCAGAGCCAGAGAGGTGAAAAGATTTTTCCAGGTCACCTAGTGACTCAGAAGTAGCTCAGGTATCCTGAATCCCTGTATCCTTTCCATTAGACTCTAATGATGAAAGTATGCTTGGGGGTGAGTGTCAGCCTTGCACTGTGGTTGCTCTATCACCTTGGTGGCTGGCGTTCTATTCTCTTCCGGAGCATTTCCTATGCTTCTGGATCAACTGGACTTTCCTTTCTCCTTCTCCAATGCTCCAGCCACCCTTATACCATATGGGATCAGTGATTCTGTAGGATGGGGCGGGTGTGTGGAGGGTCAAATAACCAGTGCCCAGGCTTGGATGATCCATGACTATCGGGTAGCTCAGAAGATGCAAAATTCCACACTCACTGCTCCCTGGAGCCGATGAGCCACACAAGAAATAGATCAGAGCCTTCTTCTGAAAAAGAAGGAGGTACATATGACGACTCATATAGAGGGTATTCTCAGAAACAAGACAACCAGCTGAAGACTGTAGGTTTTAGGTAATTCCCACCAGATTTATGCAACTCTAGCTGGTCTTTCTGAGCCAAAACAGAAGCATGTGGAATGTGCGCTATAACTGCAGAGAAGTAGGATTATGAAAGAGGAACCTGTCTAGGAGACAAGGTGCCTCTGGTTTTGACTTAGAGGAGAAAATGATCGACTCCACCAATAAACAAACACATTGCACTTACTATGTGCCAGACACTGTTCTGAGAATATTACAAATATTCACTCATTTAATCCACATAATCAACCTCTAGGCCTTAGAGGAGTCTCCTACCGGCAGTCTAGGTAGACGGTTGAGGAGTGTTGAGATGCGTTAAAAGAATTTGTTTTTCTTCCTGATTCGAAGACAGGAGGGCAAGTGCTCTTAATAGAGTTTAGAACTATGCCAAAGTGAATTAATCAACAGTTACATCCAGGGAGAAAAGGTCAACTGCCTCCTTTCTCTTGCCAGAAGGAATTGGAAGGAAGATTGTTCTTGCAAATATTCATCACTTTTTGATGCTTTCCAGAAGCGGTGATGGATTTGCAATGAGCCATCTAGTTTGTTTGTTTTTTAAATCACTCTCATATATTTGTAGTATAGCTGCCTTGGAGTCTCTGGCTGGTTCAAATGGTTAATGCACCTGACTGCTATCTGAAAGGTTGAAGGTTTTGGTCCACCCAAAGTTACCTCAGAAGAAAGGTCTGGCAGTCAAATTCCAAAAAACAGCCATTGAAAACCCTATGGAGCAAAGTTCTACTCTGATACACATGGGTCACCATGAATCAGAGTTGACTCCATAGCCAAGTATTTTCCTTTCTTCTTTCTTCTTTTTTTAAATAGCTACCTTGGTGCAGGGGTTCTGCTTGGGTCCTGAAACTATCCACTCAAGCCCACGTGGAGATCAAACCTGTGCCTGTGGCTTTACGATCCAGTGCCTTACACAGACTGATGAGCGCTCTCAACAAACGATTTGTTGAATTAATTTATTGTCATGTGCCGATTACTGAAACTGACCTTGGAAACAGCTAGATTTGGCTTTGATCCTAAAAATTAGAAGTTTATTGAAGTGTATGAAGCGGAAGAGTTTCTTAGAGATATAGGAAGTGAGTTTTTTTTTTTTAAAGTACCTATTATGTGCCTGAGGATCCCTGGTGGTGCAGTGGTTAAAGCGCTTGTCTGCCAACCAAAAGATCGGCTGTTTGAATTTACCAGCCGCTCTGCAGGAGAAAGATGTGGCAGTCTGCTTCCGTAAAAATTACAGCCTTGGCAACCCTGTTGGGCAGTTCTACTCTGTCCTATGGGGTCGCTGATGAGTCAGAATCGACTTAACAGCAACAGCTTTGGTTTTTATTATGTGCCTATATGTTTTATACATTAACACTTAAATCTCATAATACTCATCAAATCTACATTTCACAGATGAGGGAACTAACTTAAATGTCTTACTGAAGATAAATAGGTGGGGGACAGAATTCAGAATAAAGTCTGTCTGCAGAACCGATTACTCTTTCCACCACATCACATTGCAGCCTGAGTTTTTTTTTCTTCCCCATTCATCTGAAAAATGCTTTGGCTCTAGCAGCATTCACTGATCATGGCAAAAATTTAATTGATCTTTCCATGCCACAGCCTACCAATTATCCACGAGGAATAGCAACAGTTAAAGCCCGTTCTCTGTAATTAAGTCTTGGTTCCCTTAACAACTCCACCATGTAATTAAACTTACTTCTCGAACAGGCAGATATGGTTCACTAAAGAATCTGAGAAGAACTATTTAAACTGTGCTGAGTGGCTTGCTCTGGGTTCACCATGGTCAAGCCTGGGCTTGGAACTGAAGTTGAGACGGAATGTAGAGAATGCTGCCAATCCAGATCAACAAAGCTGAAACTATAGGGAGTTAGGGTGTATTTCCTACACAATCTGTGAAACTTCTAATTTAGCTCTTCTCATTGTTTTCCTCAATGAACAAGTCGGGGGTCATGGTAAAAATGCAGGTTGCTTAGTATTTATCCTTTCCTTGGAGCCGCCTCCATTGATTTGGGAAGCAAATCTCACATAGGTGTTAGTCATCAGAAACGGAAAACGTTTCTTTCTGAAAGGTGTAATTATCAGAGGTCTCACACTAACAGTATCTTGCAAAAAGATTTATTTGCCATTATTAGTACATTTTTGTGGCTGTGTTATGAAAAAATCTGGCTTAAACCACAAATACTTTATGGACTGCATTTTTTTCAGCTGAGATAAGGTTTGGATTAGGTCAAGCACTGAAAATGTAAGGATAGCATTTAATAGTTAAATTATGCACTATGTTGTAATACAGAGTGGGAAGGGGAATCCAGAGATTCAGTATCTTCATGAGCCTATAAAACCCTAGGTGTATAAATGCAAGTCAAATGACCAAACCAAACTCATTGCCATCGAGTCGATTCTGACTCGTAGTGACCCTAGAGGACAGAACAGAACTGCCTCAGAGAGTTTCCAAAGGGCGCTTGGTGGATTTGAACTGCTGACTTTTTTTTGGTTAGCAGCCGTAGCTCTTAACCACTATCCCACCAGGTTTCCAAGTCAAATGAAAACTGTTAAAATTAAAAGTTGCTTTGATTTAAAGGTCATTAAATAAAAAGAAGATAAAAGGGAAGATTGCTTGGGTCCAGGCACCAAACAAAATGCCAAAATAAAACACCAATGGGCTGCAAAACAAACAATAACCCTCCTACCCCTTGTAGCTCAAAAAGAATGAGAAAATCCAAAAGTATTTTCTGTTTCAAGTCCCCAAAGAAGAGTCCAAATGTCATATACAAAACCCAGAAAAACCCATTGCCATTGGGTGGATTCCGACTCATAGCGACCCTATAGGACAGAGTAGAACTGCCCCATAGGGTTTCCAAAGAGCAGCTGGATTCGAACTGCCGACCTTTTGGTTAGCAGCCAAACTCTTGACTACTGTGCCACCAGGGCTCCATCATATACAAAGTACAGCACATTTTTCTGGTCTCACAATGGCTACTCAGAGACTATGCAGTTAGTACCCAGAAACCTCTTCAGAGTTGGCTGAGTCCAGATGTTGGAGATTATGCTCTCCTGGATGCAGTGGAATTTATGCCAGGAGATTAAAGAGAACTAATTTATGACTTTCTCTACCTGTTTGCAATATGTGCTCAGCTTTATTATCTGCACACATTGTGATGCACAGTAATTACAATGCTGAAAATAATGTGTAACATGTGACCACTGTAGTTAAGTTTAAAAAGGGGACATTTGTCATTTTTCAGTCTGCACGTTTCTATCATATTTGCCAAATGATTAATATAGAAATATACTATAGTGAAATCCTTTTATATCAAAGTTTTATTTGCCAGGAAATAGAACACTTTCCCCCCATCTCTCCCCACATTCTAGGCTGAGCTCTGAAATTTCCAGCACTAGAATTCATTTGAGTGAGCAGCGCAGGATATCTGCTCGTCTTTGTTCAATTCTCTAAGTTCTGTAGTCACAACTGGGATGGATATGTGTCTTTTGTTTCAAAATCACATCCATAGAGAAGAAAGCCTTAAAGCTTATTCTGTAAGCAGGTGGTGCATCAGATACCTCAAACAGTTAAAAGAACAGGGATGAAATTCTAAATTTTAAACTCCCTTTTATTGAAATATAAGTTTGTTTAGTATATTTACACACTTTATGCACATATATACAGAAGGCAAAATTTGTCAAATAAAAAAGTTTTTCTTAATAAAAAATTAAAATAAAAACAAAAGTAAAGTGCATGAAACTGTTCTTCTTTTCTTTTCCTGGTGAACATCATCATTGTCGATATTTTGGTCGGTTGTGAGGTGGAGGAAGAAGAAATTCATTATTTCACTCAGCACATCCAGCTGGTCTTGCACTCAGTAGCCTTCAGGGCAAAATGACAAGGGGGAAAGGAACGAGTCAGGCAAACGTCAGAGTCTGCAGGGCTCCCCAGGGTGTGGAGGTCCTGCTCTCTTTGTCCTATCGGGAGTTGTTTGCCTGCTCTTAACAGTGATCTCACCATCGCGGCTCCGGAACAAAGGGAAAAAACAGGAAGGGGGCTCCAACAGCGAATGTCACAGCCCTGCTCCAGGGCCACCAGCGCTGCGTTTGGTAGGAAATTGCAGAATTAGCTCAACGGCTCCAACGGGTTTTCCTTTTTCGGAAGGGGAACGAGGGGGCCCAGGAGTGGGGTGTATCTCCCACAGAGACGGCCATCCGGGGACAAAAACCCGGTAGCCAGTTTCTTCGGATCCCAAACTCCGTGTTAGCACAGGGAAGAATCCTTGTAAAGGCTGGGTGGCGGGAATGTTACACTTCTTGCCTCGGTGAGTTCGTCCTCCCAGAACTTCGAAACGAAACAACTAGGGATTGAGAGAAAGGGGCAGGTGGGTGAAGCTGAAGTTTTTTAGACGCCTCTGCTCGCGGGTCACTCGCTGGGCGTTGGCCGGCTGGTCCCAGGCGGTGGCAGAGGCGACGGCCCTTCCCCCATCGTCTTTCACCGAGTCCGGGGTATCTCTCTCTTCCTCTGGGCAATGCTAAGTCCCCGGCCAGCGGCCGTAATTTGCTTTACAGTGCAAAATGTGCTTGGCGAGGAAGTCGAGGCGGCGCTGCAGCAGCAGAGCGTGGGGGTCTGCGAGCGCCGCTAGCTCCGGAAAGCGAGGCTCGCGGCGCCGGTAGAGGCTCAGCAGCCGGGCCGCTGCGTCCTGACCGCGATGCAGCTCCAAGACGCGCCGCGCTGTCCGCTCGCGGAACACGCATACCGACTCTAACAGCGGCTCGTTGTATTTGTCCCACATGGCCGCCACCCGGTAGCCGTGCACCAAACCCGCCTCGTTGTCCAGAAAGACCAGCGCCCCGCCGGGGCCGCGGTGCAGGTTGCTGGTGGCGCGCTGCATGACGCGCGGGTCCCACTGCAGGCTGAAAAGGTTGCTGACGAGCCGGTCGAAGTTGGCCGTCAGGTAGTCAAAGAGGATCAAGTCGGTCCATTGCACCAGGTCCACCAGCTCCGCCTGGCTGCGGTTGGTCAGCTCGTCTCCGGCGGCGCGAAGGGGCCGCAGACGGCCGTCCTCGGAGCTCCAGGGCGCAGGCACTACCACGTCCGTGAGGTTGGGCAGCCACCGCGTCAGGCTCACCACGCTACCCTCGGTCCAGTGCGCTGCGCGCAGCTCCTCTTGCACCTGCGCCCACTGCGCCCCCCGCGCCTCCACCCGAGCAAGGGCCAGCGGAGGCACGTGGCGCTGGAGGCCCAGCAGGCGCGCCAGGTAGTAAGACAGGGCCTCGCCCTGGATCTGCTCAGGGTTGATGCCATAGCGTACGCAGGCGCGGGTGCCGTCGGCGAAGCGGGCCAGCCGGTTGGAGCTACGCCCGCAGCCCCCGCGCTCCAGGGCCACCACCCGGGCGCCGCGCGCCGCCTCCAGCCACGCCGCCGCCTGGGCCTCGGAGAAGCCCCGGGGCACCTGTTCCTCCAGGCCGCGGCTCCAGAAGACGCCCCCGTGCACCACGGCGCTCTCGGCTGGCCGGGGCTGCCCGGCTGGCACATATCGGCTGCGCTCGCCGGGGGGCCGACCGGGCGGGCCGTCCGCGCCGGCCGCCAGGGTGAGCAGCGCCCGGAAAGTTTTCAGGGAGCCGCCGTGGGCGTCCCGCGGCAGGGATGAGGGCAGAGAGAAGCGCGGCGCGGGCGCGGGGCCACCGCTCTGGCCCGGGCGCTGCGGGAGTCGGTCTTCCGGCGGCCGGGAGGAGGGCAGCTCGGTCCCCGGAGGCAGGAGTCCGCACCACAGAGCCAGCAGAGAGCCCACCGCCAGCAGCCAGAGCCCCGCGGTGGTGGCGGCGCCCCGCATCCTCCTGCCCATGCTCCCGCGGCCGCGCCGGCTTCAAACCGAGCCCGGGCGCCCGGGTCCCGGCGGCGAGGCGGGCCCAGCAGCTTGTTGGCTCCGGGGCTCCAAGCGCCTCATCCCCATCGCGGCTGCGGGGCTCTGCCCGCCGCTGGGAACTCGCCTCGCCGCCGCTTCCCAGCTGCTTTTGTATTTCGCTGTGAGACCCTCCGGCCAGCGTGATTCACAGGCGCCCGGACCACGTGGGAGCGAGGGGGATCCCCCTCCCCCTCCTCCGCTGCCGCTCCCCGCCCCCCGCTAGCCCGCCCCCTTCCCCTCCTCTTCCTCTTAAAGCGGCGATGGCTCCTTCCAACCCGAAGAGGCGGCCCCACAGCCGTTCCGGGACTTGGGGACGGGGTGGAAGCCGGACTAGCGGCTTCCGTGCGGGGGCGTCCCCGAGCTGGAGTCGGGTCCAGCCCGAGGGACGCGCCCCTGGCCCTCGCAGGGGTGGTTGGTCGCCAGGTCCCTTCGCCAGGGCGGCGCCTAGTCACCTGCGAACTTCAGACAGCCCTGACCGCGCTCCGGGCCCGGCCCGGTAGGGTTCTGGACGGGTCCCTTTGCCTTCTCCGTTTCCGACCGGTGTGATTCACGCTGCCTTATGTCCAGTAAGTCCCCGGGAATCTCTCGGAGCCGCAGAGGATGTGACTCCAGCCCGAGAAAGGAATCATCTGTAACAGACAACTTTGAACTGACCTCTTCCCCTTTCCCGAGAGCGCTCACCAACACCGGTCACGGCGGGCTTGTGGACTTTGAGGGCTGGCAGCTCAGCAGTTCCTACGGAGCTCACGGGAAATTAAACCTCACTGTGCATGGAGAATATTACCTTGGCCCGCACACCTTCATTCGTTTATTCTTTCAACAAAGCGACTGTCGTCGACTCCTCGTCTCTGGGCTGGGCGGTAAAATCCCAGCCGCAGTCCTTACTGAGCTTATATTCTAGTGATACGTTCACGTTGCTATGAGGGCATGTAGTGCTGGGGAGGGGATGTCAGGGACAACTTCTCTAAAGAAACGATATGTTTTGCCCAGGAGGAAACTGAGGCATAGAAAAGGGCTGGGGCTTGCTCAAGACCCCACAGCTAGCAAGTGGAGAAGCTAAAATTCAAACTCGACTCTACTGGCACGCAGGCTGCTTGATTTTCCCTCCATCAAGAAAGTGCAATACTTTTGTCAAGTTGCCAGCATTCTCAGTTTTTTTATTCACTATCATTTAGCCAATCACTTTATTCCCCAAATCTGATTTTTCAATTAAGGAAACAAACACACAAAAATCCTCATATAGTTGACTTATAGTTTAATGGGGGAAAAAAAAAAAAAAAAAAGGTTAGGGGGTGGGGTCGGGAGCGGGAGGAGCCAGAAAGCAGAATATCTCCTTCCGGCTACCTTTGGTTTAGACGCTGGGAAAGCTCTTGGATGAGAATCAGCCCCTCCCCCTCTCCTCTCTACCCCAGAAGTGTGTCCCAGATCCAAACCGAGATTCCTAGCACCCCAGTTAAACAAATGTTGGGGGAGGGAGAGAGCAAGCCTCCTGAGAGCCAGAGTTCGACATCTGTTTCCTTACACGTGTTGCTTCTCTCCCCGCCTTCACCCAACAGGCGCATATGCAAGTTTTCAACTGTACTAGCGCATCATCTGGCACTGATCATGTTTTAGTCTCCAAAGGATGAATTTTCCAGTAGTGTGGGGCAGATATCCTAATGCTGGCGGCTGAGCAGTTGCATCAAAAGACCGTATGTGGGGCCTTCCAGCAAGACCCAGGGTACCCTCAAATGTTTTCATTGGTGTGGTGAGTGTATATTGGCCGAAGTGTGGGGTCTTTGTTGAATCTGCTCTGCATCCCACTGTGGCTATAGTCTGCCTTTTTATAGATTGTACCTGATGATGAGCTTACTATGGCTACCCTATGGATACATCAAAACATATTAATTCCCTTAAAAACATATTGTCTTCCTGACCTGCTCACTCCCTCTTCCCTCATCTTTCCCTAGAGGGCAGGGATTATGTTTTATCAACTCTTTATTTCCCCTATGCATCTAACATAGTCTATTACACTAAACAGGTGGTCAATACATTGAATTTAATTTTTTTGTCTTTTGGTTTAACTTCTACCGGAATTTTTTTTTTTAAACGCTGCGCTTTTAATTGGGCAAACGGTAAGCAAGAGCTCCACCTTGTGGGCATAAGTAGAATATGTAATTAGAGAACAGTATACATTTTTCGTACCTGAACTGTTAGGTCGGTTAAATTCGGAGAATATTAACTGGCTGCTATGGCCCAAGCCATGTCCTAGGTGCTATGGGGAAACCCAGAGTAGTTGGTGTCTCTGTCAGTTTCGCTATTAACAAAAGCTATAGTAACTACAAAAGGGAGTTCACTGTAAACTCCATGAGGAATCAGTCTCGTCTATTGTTTTATGCTACCTGGGCACAATGCCAGGCACTTAGTGGGTGTTCAATAAAAATTTGCTGAATAAATTATTGGGATGTTAGTAAGATGGAGCTCTGCAAGTCACATGTATCAGGTGTTTTCTGTTTTTTAACACCTTACTACTGTAGGAAGGAGTCCTGGTGGTGCAGTGGTTGAAGGGCTCTGCTAACCAAAAGGTCGGCAGTTTGAACCCACCAGCCGCTCCGCAGGAGAAAGATATAGCAGTCAGCCTCTGTAAGGATTTACAGCTTTGGAAATCACATGCGGCAGTTCTACTGTGTCCGATAGGGTCACTATGAGTCAGATTGACTCGACGGCAGTGAGGGGTTACTACTGAAGGAACACAATAAGAACTTTCATAAATTTTTAAAGGAAAAAAAATCCGTGAAATCTCTGCATAAACGGGGAGGAAGTGCCTGATTTTCAGTTTTTGAGGGCTGAGCTGACCTCAAACCCAGATACACCAAATTCAGGAATCTCCCAATCGATCGCATCATTGGCTTTACTGAAGAGGAAAGTGAGACTTCCAGAAGTGGGCTAAGATCTCTTATACCTCTGAAATGGACTAACTTTATCACTGAGCAGCTCTTTGCCTGGAGCCACAGGACTTTGTGCTAGAAACCATAACCCATTGCCGTTAAGTTGATTCCAACTTATGGCGACTCCATGTGTTGCAGATTAGAATTGCCCCATAGGGTTTTCTTCGCTGTAATCTTTATGGAAGCAGACCTCCATGCCTCTCTTTCGCAGTGCCACTGGGTGGGTTTGAACTGCCAACCTTTAGGTTAGTAGCTGAGAGCAAACCATTTGCACCACCCAGGGACCAGTGTGCCAGAACAGGAGACGCTAATAGAAAACTTTAATGAGTTTATGGAAATGCAGAATTATAGAAAACCAAAAAAGAAGTGGAATCCAGATTTAAAGTGGTATTTGATTATTTTAGCAGCATTTTAAAACATTCATGTTTACCTGATAGATGAAAGCACTTCCAGTATCCTGTACTTCTGGGCCTGAGGACTGCTCCTCCCACCCAAGGCCCAACCGCTGTGGCTGAAGTTGGGTTAGTATAGCTCATCACAGTGTGTAACCTCAGCTCCTTCTGCCTTCTGGCAGTCTTTGGGAATGAGGGAAAGGGCTACCCATCTGTCCCTAAACAGGAACCTATCTTCACCTTTAAGATTTTCTTAGTACTCCTCAGAGCCTTTTCCCTGAGCCTAGACTTCCAATTTCTTGGAACTTTCTCACAGTCCTGTTCCAAGAATGATCTGGTTCAAATAACAGTGCCTCCCTGGGGAAAAGAGAGGTGGTGGATTGAGGATTCGGAGCAGGGGAGCAGGTCTGGAATTAGAAGATTCTCCAAGGCTGGCCTTTCCACTTTCAGGCTCTTCCCTTGGCTAGTTATTTACCTTCGATGAGTTTCGGCTTCCACATCTGAAAAATGAGGATAGTAAATCCTACCCACCTTACAGGGTTGTTATGAAGCTCATGTGAAATATTAATAATACCCACAATAACAATAGCAGCTAACACTTGTTGAGTGCTCATTATGGCTTGGGCACCGAGCTAAACCCTGCACATGCATTATCTTATTTAATCATCCTGACAAGTACTATTACTGTTCCCAATTTACATATGGGAGAACTAAAACTTGGCCAGTAATTGGCCTGAAGTCATCCAGCAGGTATGTGGCAGGACCGATATTCCAGAAGGATGGATGTAAAACCCGTTTGTGAACTGTGAACTACTGGGGAAATGTTAGGTATAAAAATTACTGCCTTAAATTAAAGTAGACTCAACTCAGATGGAATTTTGCTTTGAAATGTTCTCTGGGGTTGCTACTAAGTGCAATGGTTAAGAGCCATTTCGTTAAAACCAATTCCTGCCACTTACCAGGTATGTGGCTTTAAGTAAGTTACTTAACCTCTCTGTGCTTCAGTTTATGCAAAGTACTTACAAGACCATCTAAGTGTTCACTATTATGTTTTTGCTGTTGTTACTTTTCCTTCTGATTTCACTACTTCATTGCCCAGGTTGGGGCAGGAGCGGGTGTTGTCCTCCTTTTCCTATTGCTGCCTTCCACCAAATTTCAGTCTGGTCTTGAGAGACCTAATACAGGTGGTGTTTCAGTCCAATGGTCCCTCTTTCTACCCCAGATGGGCATCTTCTCTGACACTTTTGCCATTTTCATTCCACGTGGAACTGGACCAGCAGGATTTTACCAACATTCCCAGTGCAACCCTTGCTAAAAGGCCAGAGCCTTTAGTAGTCTCGGGCAGCCAGCTCCTGGCTTCCTCTCACTCTGCCTCTCTCAATCCTTTCCTTTCCCGGGTCTGCTGAGTTATTAGCCTCTGCCAAAGATAGAGACTCCCAAATGCACCCTTCAAGATGCCTCTTCAAAAAGCAAGAGAGGAAGAAGATGTCAGAGAGGAGTATAATACTCCCTGAGAATAGATACGACTCCTGCTTCAGCCCTTATTACCTGTGTGACCCTGGCAGCTTTCTTAAACTTCCTGGGCTGCAGTTTTATTATTTGTGTCTCCCTCATCCCCACTCATTCTCTTTTATTCTTTATTATTATTTTTGGCCTGGAGATTATTTTTGTTTTCCTGGTAACTCTCTATTTGACTATGATCTGGACCTTCCAAGACTGCCTAGCCAATGTTACCCACACATTCCTGGCTCACAAACACATGTGGATACATACATATATACACACATCTATCTATCTATCTATCATCTATCTACCTGTCTATACATACAACTGTGTGTGTATATGTATATGTATATACTTACATATATCTGGTTCTAGGTAAGTCCTACTGGACACTTATAAGGAAATCAGGAAATGTAATAGACTTTGAATACAATTTACCTGTTTGCCCGGGTGGGTCCTATGTTTAAGAACAAATTGTTTCTGGAGAGGAAGTCAAGGTTGACATGAACCCCTTAAATTATGGTGA